CCCTCCCCCCCCCCCCCCCCCCCCCTCCCACCACCACCACAATTAAAAGAAAAGAAAAATCAACCCAGGGAGCATGGGGAATACAGTTGTCTCAGAAAATAATCCTCTCGGGAAATATAGCAGATAGAAGAAGTCCTATCCAAGTTAATGATATATATGATGACTTCTTTTACTATAACTGGCAGTAATAGTTAATACCAAAATATAGATCAGTAGATACCACAGCATGTATCACTATTCATAAAGAAAACATGCGGCAATTTCACTTCTCACTATTCTTAAAGAAAACCAATGACATATACAAGTCATCTTATAAATACTATCGATCAAAGCATATCTATTGCCCATCCATAGGATAACCAGTAACATTGATGGTAGATAATTACAAATTAGAAACATTTACAGAAGTCATCATCTGAATTACCATGGAACTCAGTAAAAGCAAATACTAACCATTATCTGCAGCTTCATCCAAATTATTTGAGCTTCCACCTTGGTCATCATTATTGGAAACCGAGGCAGCAGAAGATTCACCATTTATAGTACTCTTGACAGATCCATCTACACTGCAATCTTCATGGGATACACCATCTTTTTTGGGCATTGCAGCTAATGGATCAGCTTCTTCTTGAGCTTTGTACAGCAGGGCACATCCATATTTATAGTAAGATTGGATACATTCAGGTGCAAGTTCACCATAATGAGCAACCCTAAAAGAAATTTGACGTTGCAACCAATTTTCACATCAGAGTGTAATTTCAATGCAATAAAAAGTGGAATGCATTGATGCTCTTATGAAGAGCTAGGGTTGCTTCTTTCCAGTTAACTTGCCATGGACACGAGATAAAAGAAAATAGGAGAGAATATACCGAGATATCTTCTAATTTCAGTGATGTATAAGGCTTCCATTTCTTAAATGTGTTACAGTTTTTTCTCTATCTTTCTTCTTAAAATTATCAGTTTACTCCCTTGCATTGTAGGTTGTCATTTCTCAACACCAGAAATTGAAGTCAGGGTGTGTGTTAAGTGCATAATTCGGAAAACAAACAAGATCAGCATAATGGAGTTGATTATATAACAGTGAACAACATGTTCACAACCAATTATATGTAAAACAACCTTAAGACCATAATCATTCTTCAGAAAATTGTGGCATTATAATGTGGGACTTATCTCATAGAAAATTATCTAAACATTTTTTGGCAAAGTAATTATTTAATGGGCAGACATTGCTAGTACAATTATTGCATAAAACATGCACTATACCATTTTGAATTCCCAAAAAAGCAAGAATGCAAAAAAACAGAAGTAAGAAGATTATAATAGCACATCCAAATTCAATAAACAATTCTAGTGGAGCTAATTACTACGCCAAAAAAATTTCTAGCCAATTATAATTTCACAATAAACTAAAAGCATTTCACATTATTAAAACTCTACTTTTGCCCCCAAGCTTCCGGCACTGGTTTGCTAGCAGAAAATTTAAGCTAAATCAAACAAATTGCTACAAAACTAAAACTAAGAAAGCATACACATATTTCTGAATCCCCAAAAAGGAAGAAGACAAAAAATGGAATTATAAAGATTAAAAATGCGTAAGAACAAGGCTTGTCAAGCTAATTAGTTAACCAAAATTATTGTAAAGTCAGTTATATTTCCGTAATAATCCAAAAGCATCGCAGATAACTAAACCCTATCCTTGCCCCAATTCCAAACACCGGTTTGCAAAAATAATTTTACACTAAAATCAAACAAACTGCTGTAATAGAAAAAACTAATTTTACTTCCAAATACCTAAAAATAAAAGAAAATCACAAAATGCCTAACAAATGAAAAACCTTAACCTGATTTCCAAAGCACGGCTGTAGCGCTCTGTGGCTTCAGCATAATCACGCTCCTGAGCGGCTTTTGAGCCTCGAACCATCAACTCATCCGCGTATTCCAACGACTTCTCGAAGTCACCATCGGAATTTACCAAGGAACTTCCGGCATTGTTATTGTTATTGTTGCAAGTGGACTCGGTGGCTCCGAAATCGTCGCCAGATTCGATTGTAGCTTCGAATGAGTTCTGATTCGGGTCGGGTGTGAAATTCGCTGGTTCCTCCGCCATTAATGAGAATTGGAAGAAAAAAAAATCGAAAAACCGTCGTTTTTCCTCTCTCTCACTAATTCAAAGAGTATAAATGAAACCTTCGTGGCGCAAAAGTATAATCTCTCATCCTTTAAAATTTTAATAATTTTTTTTTTCCATTTCTCTTCGTATCTATTACACATTCTTCAATAAAATAATATTATACGTAAATGAAAAAAAAAATATTCTTTTTTAACCACATTTTCCAAACAAAATATTATTTCAAAAATTATAATATCAAATAATAGGAACCAAATGGGGGCTAAGTAACCACAAAAAATTCAAACTACGGGTCGATAACACTCATAAACGTGTAATAAAAGATCGCTTACGGTATGCATTTCGACATTTTCATTGATTATTGAATCTATTTATTTATTTATTTTTTATTTTTTGCCGGAGGAATGATGCGCGAAAATGACAATTCGATGTCAATATCCCATTTGTCAGTCAGAAGGACTGGACAAATTAGGTGTATATGCTTCAACTATGCAATTGTAAAACGAGTCGTTTGTCATTAGAAAAAAAAAAAAAAGCAAAAAATTGATTTTTTGACCGTTATTTCACTATTCCAGCCGTCATATTTGACTTCTTCTCTCACAGGTAGACCCCACTTTTCTCCTAACGATCAAAAAATCAATTCTCAAAATCACTCTCAAACAGACTCTATAACTCTTTTTAGCTTAAAAACATCTAACGCTCACCAAAGCCCTATTTGACCCCAATCTCAAAAACATTTTTGAGTACAAAATTTATAAAATTTACAACTTTTATTAACTTTTCAATCATATATCTTATCATTTTTTAAAAATATATTAAAAATCTAATTTTTATCTAACGAAAAAAAAAAACTAAATGTACTCAACTTCGGATTATTTTATTTGTAGGGTTGACAGGCTTGGACCATTTGCCAAGGTTGGCTGCATAGCTCTATTTGTTGGTAGCTTGAGCTCATTATACACCGTGCCTAAGGTTGAGCTAGGCCTAGCCTCTACTATTACAAGCCGAACTAGGCATGTAAGCCTTATGGGTAGTTTCATAATTTTGTTATTAATTTTCGGGATAATTGTAGTAAAAGCCAAAACCTTTTGAAATACTAGGAGACTTTTTAAAAACCTTTCATTTGTCGCAGCCATCAATCCTAACATTTTCAAACATTGCATGTGTGGCACTTTTGGATGATTTTCGTTTAAATTGCGGTCAATTAACCATCAAAATAAACTTTGACCACCTTTTAATCAATTTTAAAATAGAAAAAAAAGGTAATTTTCTATTTTCCATATTAAACAATTAAAAAACTTAAATCAAAAATTTTAAAAAAAAAAAGAAAAAGAAAAAAATGGATCTTCTTCTCTCCACCCAACCATTAATAATAAATCTACCACCGCCATCGCTATTAACTACTGCTTGGAGACCTGTTGGCTTCAAACTCACTCATATACTAGCATGGATCTATATATTTGCATCTCCATTGGGATCTACATATTAGCATCTGTACAGGTACAGAGTGGTGACCCAGCTTTAGCTGTATTCAGAACCCAGTCGTCATTCTCCACTTTGCGTCGTTCATCGTTGTCTGGTCTACCATCTCATCCACTCCTCTTATATTCTCGACCATCTCGTTGAGTTTTTCTCCGAACAAGACTACACTTTTGTCGACGGTGGAATTGAGTCTGACTTGGACAAACTTAAAAGGGACTATGGATTTCGGTTCAGTGCGAATGCCGTTGATTTAAGGGAGCTCTTACTCAACTTTTTAAACCCACAAAGAAATCTAGCATCCGGGTAGTGGGCGATGGTGGTGACGATGGAGTAATATTTCTCTGTGGATTTTCTGAAGAATGCAGTAAACACAATACAATGAAGGGACATAACAAAGAAAAAAAATTTAACCTTATGATGTATATAGGTCAAGTAGAACAAAACCTTCAAACAACTTGCTTCAGGGTACCCAATTTCTAAATATCTTGCAGATCATCAACTGCATCCGACATACTGGAACTTTGAGATGGATAAAAATCGACAACAAAATGTGCACATTCTTTGTAGAGTATAAAACGTGTTTCTAAAAATGCAACTCTTTTAGTTGGCAAATTTAGTTGGAAGGCCATATGGCAACCCCGACTTGGCTCAAATGCATTCACTTGGATTGTTCTTCTTTAAATGAATATTGGACCGTTGGATTCGACCTACGGTTGAGATTAAAACACGCCAATATTAGATTCTTGGGTGGCTATCATTTTCCATTCTTCTGGGTCTGTAGATTTTTTGAGTTTCCCTCTTCTGGACTTTCAATCTTCTTCTTTTGGTTTCTTCGATCTTTGATCTCTTATGACTTGTCTGGCCAAAATATTGGTTAAATATGTGTGATTAATGTTGCTACAATAATCAGGCCTGAATATAGTGACTGATTTGGATTTGTAGCGATTGCCAGAAAGTCTCGTTCGTGTTTTTGGTTAGGTTTTGAGATTTAAGAGATCCATGTGTGGATCAATAACTATTTCTGTATCTGATTGAGTTTTCTAGATCTATATTCCTCTTTGGACTGTATTTGTGTGCTTAGTAATCGAGCTAATCTCTGAGCCCCCTAGATTAAGCGATTGCCGAACTGGGTGAACAATCTTGTGGTGTTCTTCTATATTTTCTTACACTGTGGTTGTTTTATTTTACTATTTTTATGGACTGTGTAAGGAAAGAACCCTATCAACAACTTATTTCTGTATCTGATTGAGTTTTCTAGATCTATATTCCTCTTTGGACTGTATTTGTGTGCTTAGTAATCGAGCTAATCTCTGAGCCCCCTAGATTAAGCGATTGCCGAACTGGGTGAACAATCTTGTAGTGTTCTTCTATATTTTCTTACACTGTGGTTGTTTTATTTTACTATTTTTATGGACTGTGTAAGGAAAGAACCCTATCAACAACAGGTATTAGAACCTTCGAGCTCTCTGGGGTGCACTGTTTTGAACAAAAATCTTTAGGTCAACTTTTCATGGCTCGGTTCCTTCCTGGGAGTGCGTGTGTTTTTTTGATAAAACACTTTAGGATTTTTTTTGGATCATTTTTTTCTAATACATTGAAAGATCTAATTCTTGTCTCCTTTTGTGTTGTTGTTTGTTAGGAAAAACTTGGTGAAAAGTGGCGAGTTAACCACAGATCACTCCTAGTAAAGGAGGAGTTTCAGTCCTCGGGTTGAGACTAGCTTAGAGTTCTTGTTACTTTAAAGGCAGTATATGGTGAGGATGCTTTTATTTTTTTTGGCTTCTGTATGGTAATTTATGTTCTTGGTATTTGATACCAGAAACCTACATTTGATATATGTTCGCATTGGAATTGTGACTTGAATTGCATATTCCCGTCATTGAGTATATACAGTGTTAGTTGAAGTTCTTGATTATAACTTGGTGCTATTACTTGTTTACAAGACTAACTCACTCTATACCGAATATTATTGTTCTTATCTCAAATTTGGTGAATATGTATCTGCCCTAAATTCTTGAAATTTTTTTCAAAACCTTTTACGCTCACTAGTTGATCTTTAATCCAAGATTACACTATGTCCATGAGTATAGGCCAACATTTTATAGAACCTGTGATGGGTTGGAAGGTTGAATTATTACAATTCGATGGAAAGGGGGACTACTCAATATGGAAGCAAGAAATCAGAGTCATTCTGGTTCAACAAAGGGTCGCTAAGGCCCTCGATGATCCGAAACTTTTTCTGCTGAACTAAAGGCAAAATCGAATGAAATTGAACACATGAATGAAAGTGCTTATAATTCCATAATTTTACATCTATCAGATAATATTGTAAGACAAGATGAAGCCAAAACTGTTAGAGCCCTATGGACTGCCCTTGATGCTATGTTTTTAACTAAAACACTACCAAATAAAATTTATCTCTTGGAAAAGCTATTTAGCTTTAGTATGAACCCTGGGAAGGACTTAGAGGTAAATTTGAATGAATTTAATATCATAGTGAAAAACCTTGCAAATAATGAAAAGAAATTTGATGATGAAGATCTTACTGTAATCCTGTTAAACTCATTACCTGACTCATATAAAGATGTCATAAATGCAATAAAATACTCAATGGATAAACTGACTCAAGCTATAGTCATTGATACTTTGAGATCTAGGGAGTTAGAAGTTAAAAAGGAATCTAAATCTAATCCTAGAGATGAGAGCATGTTTGTAAGAGGATGACCTGAAAAGAAAATAATTTTTCCACAAAGAAGGGAAAAGGGAAACCCAAAACCAGATCAAAACCTAGAGATAAAAGCAAAAAGAAGTGCTACAATTGTGGGAAATTGGCACACTTCAAAAGGGATTGCTTTGAACAAAAAAGAAAACAAAGAGATCTAAATAATGGAGAGTTAAACAATAACACTATGGAAGCTAGAGTTGATGGTCTCTATGTTATGACTGTATCTAGTGAGGAAGTTAATAAAGATTGGATATTAGACTTAGGGTGTGCCTTTTACATGTGCCCTATAAAAGACTAATTCTATAGTTATAAAGAAATAGAACCTAGGAAAGTGTACATGGGGGATAATAATTCACAGACTGTTGTTGGAAATGAAGACATTTCAATAAAAATGCATGATGGCTTTGTTAGGCCAATTTTGAATGTAAGCTATGTTCCTAATCTGAAAAGAAACCTAATATCCTTAGGAATTCTTGAAGATGAAGGACATACCTTTAAGTTTGACAACAAAGTATTAAAAATAATGAAAGGTTCACTAGTTGTGATGAAAGGACCAAAAAGAAATGAGCTGTACAATCTTAAAGGCAAAACTATTACTGTTCCTGATTCCAATCTACTCACTATTACTGAGAATAAAATTGAATTGTGGCAAAATAGAATGAGACATATTGGAAATAAAGGGTTAAAATCTTTAAGTAATCAACAATTGCTTGGGAAAGATTTAGTTGAAACACTGGAATTTTGTGAAACCTGTGTTCTTGGAAAATCTCACAGCGTGAGCTTTGAAACAGGTTTACATGTTACCAAGAAACCCTTAGATTATGTCCATGCTGACTTATGAGGCCCTGAAAGCCACCCCATTTTTAGTGGCAATAGATATT